AGAGCTGGTTCCCGCAGAGCAGGGCCCGGAGCTGCTGTAGCTGCACCCCAGCCTTCCCCACAGAGACAGCACCTACCAAGGGGATGCGTGTGGCAACACCCAATACGGAATTTGATCTTTGAGCCACCCGGGATGGACATGGACATGGCTCTGTCAGCCCCGCTGTGCTTTCCACCAGCTGAGCTTCTGGCCCATTGGACGGGGACGCCGACACCACATACAAAGAGTCTGTAATTTATTAATTTCGGGGTTTTTTTGATGTCTGATCAGGTCACTTTGAGCGAGGGCTGTTGCCGCAGAACAGGTTCAGTTTGGGAAATCAGGCTCGTAGTCAGCACGTTCCTCTCTCCCTCCCCACCCCTGCGGTCCCCTTGCTCCGTGCTGGGGGATGCTGCAGAGGCGGGCGCCCGGCATCCCGTCCCTCACCTCTGAAACACCTTGAATTCAAGGCTTCATTTCAAAGCTGCCTTTCAGCATCTCAAAACAAGTCCGCGTCCCGGACAAAGAGAGGGAGCCAGCCGCCGTTCCAGCCTCCTTGTGCAGTGCGTGTCACAGTTTTAAATAGATTTGCCCTGCTTGGATTGGTTCTGGTTGGAAAGCGAGTACTGAAATGAGAGGTCATAGGGGAGAGTTACTATGGTAATTGAGTAGTATCACCAGTAGTTTTGCTCTTATGAGCATTAAAGCACATAATAATAGACAAACAACAGTGGTTAAAGCAAGCAGGTAGGATTACTATGTTCTTTTGTCAGAAGTATATAACGTCTTGTAGTCAGTTTTAAAGACTTCTCAACCCCCAAATCCACCCAGCAGTCACCTGCTGAGTAATTTTGTATGCCTAATCTCCAGCCCTTAACTACAAGCTTTCTGCTAATTTGAGGCAAATGGGTATTTTTGACACTAAATAGGGCAGTAAAGAATCCCTGACCTAGAAAAACTCCATTCCGAGGCACTGAGAGCAGAAAAATATTCTTTCAGCATCCTTGGGAGACCTTTGGAATGACATAAAATAGCTTTGACTAAACTGTGCTGCAGCCTTCGATTAATGGTTTGCAGAAACTTGCTGAACATCCCTACTACAACTTCCCCCATAAAACTTGTCACTTCAGATTGCCATCAGCCACCACAACAATAATCATTTCATGCCTATTGCTAATTGCAAGCACAGCTGAGGCTCAGCGGGGTGCTCTTGCACAGTCCCAGGCCTTTATACCAGCCTCAATCTGTTGTATGGCACTTGTTCACACACAAAAAAACTACCAGTAAAGGCAGAAAGAGGCAGAGTCACAGGTTTCTTGTAATCCCTCTGCTACCCTGCTGACAGCCCAGCCCTATAAGCATTCCTGGTTTTGTCCCACTCTTTACAAAAGCTGAAGTGACCTTAAGCTACTAGTATGTAAGCTTTTGAATGAAGAATACAGCTCCTTCAGGTGCCTTAAGAAGCAGTGTTGCATCTGGCTTACGAGATTCTGTTTGCAGCACCCCTGGGGTGAGCTGTGGCTTCCTGTAACATGTAAAATATGAGTGTGAACTCAAGGTTCATGGCAAGGAACAGGAGGTCAGGCTTCCATTCAGCTCACACCAGCGAAGACGGGGGTTTGCAGATGTTCCTGGGTATGTGTAATGACACCACCTCCCCAAAAGCGCAGGAGACCAGCACAGGGCTTTTTTTTTTTTTTTTCTTTTTGATATAATGTGCCACACTCAGTGTGTTACTTGCAGATTTATTCATATCAATTTTTGCAATTTATGTATTCAGAGGCAAACTTGCTATTTCAGCAACTTATTGATCATATTTTTGCATTCAAAAAAAAAGAAAAGGCAGGGGGGAAGGAGGAAGCTCCTCGCTCGAGGTGGCTGGGTGGTGGGCAGCCGTGGAAGCCCACCCCTTGGCAAGCTTCAGCTCCTCTAGTGCTGTCCAGGAGCATCCCAGCTCATCTACCCAGGCTAGCATCCAGCGATGAGGGTGGCTGTGAAAGACACAAGGGGAACAGGAAAGCTCTCAGGGAAGAGGGATTAAATTCCTGGCCGCGTGCGTACGGTATCCACTTGCTGTTACGAGGCTCTGATACCATCTAACGAGCATCTGTTTGCGTCTCCTCTGCTGTCAGACAGGTCGCACCGTGCAGCAGGCAGCGAGGTCCCGTCCCCACTGATGTCCCGGGGGATGTGGCATCCACCACGCACCTCCCCGGGATGCACCCTCCTCGGGATGCACCCTCCCCAGCCCTCCATCACCCCGTGCCCCCAGACTGAGTGCAGATTGTCCCCCGCGCGATGGGCAGGGATGCCAGCTGGCATCGGTAACGTCTGTGTGCAGCAGCGAGGGGTGGGGTTGGGGTCCGTGGATCTGGGAGCATCACTGAGGTCTGCTCATTCTTTACAACCGGGTGGGAGGAGGTTTGAGAAAATATATTGGTTACTTCGGTGTGCCTAACTCACAGCTTCGCTCCTGGGGCTCCTGCAACGTGCTGCAGCCCCCTGGTAAGGCCCCGAAGTTCAGCATTTGGGCTGTGCCCTCTACGCCTTGTTCATGGGGGTGAGCTGCAAGGCTGGAGCGGGAGCCCCGGGGAACCCCACGGCCCTTCGGGGCCTGGCAGAGCCACCCAGGGAGAGCGAGGTGGCCGGCGGCCCGGCAGGACCACACTGCGCTCTTTTGTCTGAAATGATCACGTTTCCCTTTCGGAGCATTTGGCTTTGTTGTTGTTTTTTTAATAATATAATCATATGCAAATGTTATCTTCTTTGGTAGGTTAGTCATGAATCAGAGGGCTTGTGCATCTTATAGCACATCAACACTAGTGATAGCTAAAGGGAACATTTAATTTATGGGCTCACTTATTTTTATGAATATGCAGGGCTTAAATTCAGCAGTTGGTGTGTGCTCTATGAAGTGACGTGACGGTTTTGTGTATCAAGATCAATGAATTAAGACTTTGTCTTTTTCTCATAAAGCAGAAAGTCTCGGGAGTGACTTAGCCTTGAGAAAGAGCCGCTTTCACGCAGCCGGGCAAGACGCCTGGCTGAGCCCTCGTCAGCCGGCGCTGGAGAGGAGAGGGGTACCGTTCGGATTAGGCTTGGAGCAGCCTGTGTCCCCCAGGACCTGGCGTGTTGGAAACCTTACCAGAAACATGGCAGAAGCTTTGGTTTAGCTGAGCGGAAGGTCTCGCAGGAGCAAAGTACCTGAGCTTGATTTCCATTACGGTGAAGGCTGCCGTTTGTCTGTCTGAATTAGGGTCATTGCAGCTCTCAGCTCTTGCCAGATCTCCATCCTGGAGATGAAGGGCCAGCAGTAATCTCGGCCAGAGGTTGTACAAGGTGTCAGCATCGAGCCAGAATCACCACGTGCCATTTCTTTGGCAACTCTTCCATCCCTTTATTTCCTCCGTTTTATTAAGAGGTGGTGTAGGAATAGAAGTGCAGGGAAAGACCCTTCGCCATGCAGCGTGACCCAGCTCCGCTGTCTGCTCCTGGTGAAGGAGAGCAGCCCCTGCCCGGTTCGGTGGCTCTGGAGCCGGCGGGTTTTGTGCTGCTGGGCTGGTTTAGCTTGGACTCGATCGGTTGCTTTGGGCAGTTTTATGCCGGCTCATGCATGTGGCTCCTCGGCACTCGAGGGCAGTGCACTCACCTGGATGGTGTATAAACCGCTGCGGTGTTTTGGGGGGTTATTTTTATGTCGAACTGGTTCTGGCTTGCAGCTGCTCTGCAGCATCGGTTTTGGTCTGCGTGCGTGTGCGAGGGAAGGGTGTGACTGCAGCGCGAGGCGTGATGGGTTTCTGTATGCAGACCGCTTTGTAGTCGACCCTCGCGCTGAGCGGCGTGGGGAGGTTTTTGTGATTCCCCCACCACAGCCCCTGCTTTCCCTCCTCTCGAGGGCTCGCTGCGTGCCTGTGTGGTGTCAGACGTGCAGTGCCAGCCCTGCGTGAGCGGGGCACTGATCCACAGCCCGCCGGAGCCTCCTGCGCCGCAGGGCGGGAGGCTGCTGCTCCAGGGCCTTTTCACAGGCAGCAAAAATTCAGCGCCTGGGGGGGAACCCTGTGAATTCAGCAGCTTGAAACAAACTCATTTGTTTGCCGCTTTTCCATCTTTCGTAACGGTGAGGGTGAAACGCCAGCATTTCCCACGCAGGTGTCCGTAGGTACTGACACCAGCCTCCTCACCCGCAGCCAAGCCTTGTCCCGCACGAGCCT